TCTCAACCAACCAACCAATCAAAAACAGCAGTAAGACAGTCTGTGACAAGTGCTTCTGCTTGATGTTAGTCTGTAACTTCAGGGAAACCTTAATTCAACCATTCTATATAGCCCCGGCAAAAGCCTGCAATAGCAAATACAGACTTAATTGTTTTGATATAAGAACAATTTTATTGCTGAGTGGGTGCTCAATAACTTTCCTTTATGTAAGTTTTACACTGGACTGACCTCTATTATTGCTAGGAGAGAGCATGACACCAAATGTGACTTTCTCTGAGAGAACTGTTAAGTGAGAACGCCAGTTGTAGGGAATCAATTATAAAGAGATCATCTTCAAAAACACTCGGAGAGAAAGATGACATTTCACAGTGCTGATGGAAACTGAATTGTAACAAACTTTTAGATTTCTGTTTCAGAGTTAAGTCACTAGTTACTGATTCTCCAAATGCCCTCAACATTCACCTCCTCACCTATCAAGGGAAGCTTGCTTTCTGCTACTGCAGAAGATTTACATGTATGTCACAGTTTATCATTAGTGAAAGAGTATCACTACTATTTACTCATGTGAAATGGAATGAGAGCTGATTTTCCTGTGCATTAGCCATGCAAGATGATTTTCCCATACTTAAAAAGACTTGTCTTGCTCATGACCACCAGCACTTGTGGTACCCTTTGAGGAAGCCATATGTAAAGGCTGTCTTTAACAACTTCAGCTCACTTCCTTAGAAACAGGTTTGCACACATGCTTCCCCAGTAACATCTGGATTTAGACAGTGGCCTCAGACAAGCTTGGTAGCTCTAAGTTGTGAAAGATGATTCCAATGATCCCGCAAACGTTAAGTCCATCATCTAAAGAGAAAATATGAAGTCAAAGTTCGAGCACTTCCACGTTCTTACTCATTTATGACACCATCAGCCAATTTCTGTAGCAGAATCCAGCTGCCAGCATGCTGCTGCCAAAATAGTCCGTAGCAGGAAATACAAATATTATCACAAAAACAAACAAACAAAACACCAACAACAGAAAGAACGACCAACAAAAACAACCTTGGTGTAATTCAGTTAAGTAGCCAACAAGGAGACCTCATCCAGGCTCAATTAGATCTGCTATTAACAGTGGTAATTTTAGCTCTCATTATCAATGCCATATGCCCTACTGCAGTCACAATTACCAGAAATACATGCCCTGTAACACGAACAAAGAATAGCTGCAGCACTAAAGCTGAGAGAACAGGACCTTGGAGGCCAAGAAATAGTAAAAGCAAGTGTTCCAACTTGAATACAATCACCCTAAACTGAAAAAGGGAATTGTGACTGCCTTGCAGTGATAGTACAGGTGCATTTCATGCTTCCTGTAGGCAATGAAGGAACACAGTCATCTTCATTTTTCCTTTTGCACACTGAGAAGCAGGCTGTAGGGGTAAGTAATCAGAAGAAAGGATACCACAGAGCAAGCCAGGAAGCAGCTCCCTGTATCTCCTCTCCGCTGGCAGAAAGAAGAGAGACAAACCCTTACTAAACAGTGGCACTGCTCCTGACTGAGTCCGTCTGAAACAGAAATCCCTTCAAAGATGAGTATCTAGAAAATAGTGAGACTTTTCAATGAAGCTCACAGACAAAATTTCCCCTGAGCACTGAAGATCTAACCAAGGGGTCTGAATTATGAAAATAATAAGATTGAGAAGTCTGTCTCTCTTGCAGAGGCAGGAAGGTCTTCCAACCCAATCCTGAATTCTTAAGCTTTCTAGAATTCCTGTATGTCATGCTGTGTCACCACAACATGACAACAAAAACAACAATAAAAAACAAATCAAAAAACAAACAAACAAGAAAGGTAAAAATGCAGATAGGTTCAATGTTATTTGTACTGACTTCAGAGAAATAGACAGCCTTGCAAATTTAAGAAGTTCCATCTCACCTGAAAGTGGACTCTAATTTAGAAATCAAAATAGGTCCTTATTAAGCTAATCCAGCAAACACAGAGGGCTTGACAGAAGACAGGGGGTCAACTTTGAGAACATCATCATATGTAACAGGGAAAACACAATTTAAAGACTCCCAAGCACAATGCTATTTTGTACAGCTAATGCAGTCATGCTCTCTGCGTTCTTCAAGGGATGGAGACGTGACTTTTTTTGACTTAGAACCTCTGTATCTGTCTGAAAGATTCCCAAGCACTAAGCAGTGTTTGTTTTAAAGCCAGTAAGAAAAAAAATCACATCCTCACCTTATTTATTGCTGAACCAAACTACCCCAGAGGGCTCCATGAGATGTTGATGTAAGATTGCTATTTATTGCCACCGCATTGTCCTCGCCCCGACACATCGCACTGCATTTGTTTTTAGCATCACCAGCTTAAATTTTAATTCTAGCTTACAGTAATGCAAAGAAATTAAAAAAATAAAAATAAAAATCACACCTGGAAGTTCCTCAGAAGAGCCAGTTCATCAGTATGTACCACCTCCCCAGCAGCTGCTGTGACTATTAACAGCTACTATTTCTGTACATTTTCTAACTCATACCAAGAGAGCTCACAAATCTTAGCCTGCTCACCTTTGAAAACACTCAGGCAGCATCAGTTTATGGAGTTCCTGCAGACTGAGACCGTATGACTGATGGTCTCCAACTCCCCTACTTTCCCCTAAATTAAAGATAAGAGAGGCTTTAACTGAGAGCAACCACTCCTTCTATGGGTCATTAGCATTTCTTAGTAGGCTCTCGCTGAAAAGACCTCAGCACTGTTCTTGGCTATGCTGACTTCCTATGACCAATTTATCCAGCCCTTAACTTCTGCAGCTGAATTACCAAGCAAGTTCTCTTCTGCTGCTCTACAACAACCCTCACGCTCTTTCAGTATTAACCTAGTTCTTTCTTTTCCTCATTAGCTTTTGCCCATTCCCTGCTATCTCTGCAACATGTTGGGATCCAGACCCACACTAGAAATGACTCAACACATACACCTGACATGAATGCCAGCATTACTCAGACTTATTGTTAGCGTGAGCGTGCTACAGCCCTAGGAGCAGCAGCAGACTCCCAATAGCTTTTTCTGCCTGGATTTCCTCCAGCTCACAGAAACAATCAGCATTGGCACACCCACCTGCAGCCACTTTCTTCATGCAAAAACCCTGTATCACCACATTGTTGGTAAACTGAGCCCTCTCTACCAGGCATTTTTACAGTGACAGGAAGAGAGAAAAATAAGTGTCTGCCAACAATTTAGCCACCAGACTTAGTGTGCTGCTTTTAAATCACTCTGTGGCATTTCCATGCTGACCAAAGCCAGCAGTATCAACACACAAAACCCAACAATGAGCAGCCTGAAAGTGCTGAGACCACTCACTCACTAAATAAATAAAACACCCACAGCAGTCTTATTTGATTAGATATACCCATGAAACTAACAACATATGAAGAAAAAGATCAAAGAACACTTATTTTATTTTATTTTATTTTTTTCTAATTCACTGTGTGATAGAGGAAATCTACGTCAGCCACCCACCTAACAACCCAGGTTTTTATAAGGTCTTGTACAGGTAAAGACAAAGGAAAACTGCTACCAAACCAGAGAACAAGCGTAGTGTAAATCACTTAAAGATCTGCCCTTTCAGAACATTACTAATCATTAAGGTATGAAAAGATGATCAAGTCCAACTGTCACCGTGCCTACTGACCATGTCCCTCAGTACCACATCCACACAGTCCTCGAACATCTCCGAGGATGATGACTCCACCACCACTGTGGGCAGCCTGAGCCACTGCCTCACCACTCCTTCTGAGAACAATTTTTTCCTAACATCCAACCTGAACCTCTCGTGGTACAACTTGAGGCCATTCCCTCTCATGCTATCTCTGTTACCCGGGAGATGAGGCTGATCCCCACCTCGCCACAGCCTCCTCTCAGATGGTTGCAGAGAGCAATGAGATTTCCTCTGAGCCTCCTCCAACTGAAAAACCCCTACTCCCTCAGCTGCTTCCCATCAGACTTGTGCTCCAGCCCCCTCACAGCTCTTTTGCTCTTTTCCGGGCATGCTCCTTCTTGTAGCAAGAGTCCCAAAACTGAACACAGTTCAGTGAAGACAGAGGAAAAGAAAAATAGCCACCAAGCTAAAGAACTAGCAGAGTGCATGTTGCTTTGAGTCTGCCCTCCTCCAAATAAAGATCTTCCACACACAGATTTCTGTTAGGTGAGGAGGAATGAAAGTTAAACGCAAGAGTGCCCTACTGAGCAGCTGAAACGGTCAGGTCTCAGGTTCTCACTTTGTTAGCAAGATAACACGAGCTGCATAGTTTTTTTTCAGGGCATCCTTTCCACATATTGCCTCTTTCCCAAAGGCAGCAGTGAGACACAGAGTGTATAAGAGCACAGTCAGATGTGATCCAAAAGCACAAGCTTTCAGAGGGCTGACGCTAGGAACACTGCATATTCATTCACTGCTTCTCTGCAGCTACGCGGCCCCGCACTCTGCTTTCACTCACGTCCATGTGCTTTCTGGGTGGGGCAGCTTTTACCAACTTCACCTCTCTCCATCTGGTTTTTCAACGAGTCAGACAACAGGACCATAGACACGTTGGAAACATCAATCCGCTCTGGGTTACCCGCAGAAAGCACATTTCTGGAACTTGCTCGTTCACCTCTTTGGACCCACCCGGAGGGCACGCGGCGCAGCCCGCATCCTAACACTCGCAACGCCGCAGAGAGCGGCCAGCTCGCCTTGAGGCTGGAACAATTCACATCCGCGCCCGCCCCGCGGTCGCTGCCCCCCGAGACGCAGCAGGGACCCGAGCCCCAGCCGGGCCCCCCGCGGCGCCCCCTGCTGCCCGCAGGGCAGCTCCCACCCGCCGCCCGCCTCCGCGACCCGCGCAGCCCGAGCACAGCAGGCTGCCCGGGGGCTGCGGAGCGCTCCCTGAGGCGACGACAACTATATGCGCACACCCACATATGCACACGGACAGACGCGGCACGAACGTGCTCCTAAGGAGGAGGCGCGGCAACTTACAGCAGAGGACCCCCAAGTACCCGAGGAGCAGCAGGCGGAGGCTCGCCATCTTCCCGGCAGCGGCCGCTTCCCCCGGGCGGCAGCGGATAATCACCGCGGGGGGACGCCTGCTGCAGCGGGGCGTGGGGCGCGGCCCGGCCGGCGCGGAACGGAACGGAGCGGAGCGAGGGGGCGGCCCGGTTCGGCCTCGCCTCAGGCGGCCCCCGCGGGGCTGCGGGGCTCCGCGCTCGCCCCGGAGCTCCTCTGCGGAGCGGGGCCCGGAGGGGCGGTGCCGGCCGATAGGGGGTAGCCAGCGGCGGGGCAGATCCAGGCGGCGCCGGGGCGGCAGGTGGGGAGCGGGCGGGGGTTGCTGGCGGCGGGTACCGAAGTTTTCGGCTCTCAAGCGCAGCGCCTTCCCGCGCTGCTCGGTACAGCCGGGCGGCTCCCTGGCTCGGCTGCTTGGTCCTCCGCGTCTCCGGGCTTTGCGGGACGACCCCGGGCCTCCAAGCCGTCCCTCAGGGCCCGAGCTTTGCCCGCTTGTCAGCTCTCCGTGGCCGTATGTACGTGTTTACATGTGATTTCACGGGTGTTGGCAGCGGCAGAATAAACTTTGGCTTCGATTACAAAAGGCTTAAACTTCTCCCTCGAGAAGCTCACAGTCACTGCTTGCGTTCGCTTCTGCAATTACACCCATCCAGGATGGAGAGCAGTGGAATGGAAGCAGGCGTCACAGGGTGAATGGTGAAATAGAAGTGCAGGTGGATGCTCTTGGCAAAAAGGGAGCGACGTGATGGCAAGGAGCACCTTCAGACACAGAGCTCATCCACAGCCATCCATCACACCCGTGCAGGATAGGATGCTGTGTGGATGTATATGCCAGCACAGCAGGGCAGCACAATCGCCTCCACAGCCTCCTGTCTTGGCACTTTATACTTGGTTTAGGAAGATCTTCATTAAATATGCAGGAGGTGCAATGGTTCTTTAAATGTAGGAATCAGGGGGAAAAAAAAACTCATCACAATTAATTCTGCATCTGAGTCGTTTCTAATGACATTTTAAAATACACTAGCAATGTAATATGGTTCTGTAATAGGAAAAGTTTTAGAAGTATTTCTGATGATCAGTGCAGCAACATTGGCTGTATTTTTAGACTGAGCAAAATGGGGAAAGATTATTTATAAATGAAGTATCCAGCAGCTCTTTTAGTAGCAACCAGAGAATTAGGATGAAACTCTTCACATAAAAATCTGAGTCTATTTATCACATACAAAAATGTGCATAGAATATAAGTAATATTTTTGAAAAAAAAAAAAAAGGCATATGAATACACAAACACACACACGTGCATATTGCAAGTATATGTTGCTACTCTACGGAAGGAGCCTAGTGGAAAAGGTGTAGAGGAGGGGAATGTCAAGAAATGGCAGAACAGTACTAAGGTAAGGGACAGCTCGGAGGGTGGCTGCTGAAGCCAAAACAATGGCAGTGAACCAATAATGTGAATGGAGAGATCAGAGGTGAGGAGGAGTTGTCTTGTTAGGATTCCCATCAGAGTCCTTTCGTCACGGTAAACACTCCATTTTGATTGTCCAAATAGATGGATTCTTATGTAGCATTTAATCTGTATTTCATTAGGATGACTCATACCACAGTAAATCCACTTAAATACTTTCAGTTTATACAAACAAGAGCTTTGTATGGGAACTATTGAATTATGGCCTGAACCCCTGATTGATCACCTGAGGCAAGCACTGAGTCAGCTGCAGGAGCACAGGTGAAAGCAGTTCACCTGTGTGACTAGAAGTGGTGGAGCCTGGTTACACCTCTCCTAGATCCCATTTAAGGGCTGACTGCTACTGAGATAGGATCTCTTCTAAGAGATTGCTTCTCTTGTGGTTTTTTTTTCCCCTCTCTTCTTTCTCTGTGAGCTTAGAGTATGGGTAAGCTTTTCTATTCATTTTTGATTATCCCTCTCTAATGTGATAATCTTTCTGGTTATTTGCTCTCTAAAGACCAGCCTAACTTGTATGTATACTTGTTAATTATATACACTTATATCGGATATAAGGGAAATGTTTTTTACAGTAAAGGTGGTGAGGCAGTAGGACAGGTTGCTCAGAAGGTGGTGGATGCCCTGTCCCTGTAGACACTCAAGATCAGGTTGGATGGGGCTCTGAGAACCTGGTGGAGCTGTAGGTGTCCCTGTTCATTGCAGGGGTGTTGGACCAGATGACCTTTAAAGGTGTCTTCCAATTGAGAAGATTCTATGATCCTATGGTTCTGTGATTAAAAAAACAAAAACAAAATCTGCATACAGAATGCAGGTGAAAGATATCTACCTTATGTTGTAATAACAGTTATAGTCAAGTTGTTTGTATGCAAAATCCTTAAGAATAATGTGCAAGTGTAACACGATTTCCAGACTTAGCTACTTAATGATCTCAGTAATTTCTGAAAAAAAAAACATTTCATTATCTAATATTTCACATAGATTCACATTCTTATACTACAGTGGAATTCTTCCTCTATTAAATGAAACTTTGTAGTAGAGCTGCTGGCATTAACCTGTATAACATTACAAGTTTACATCTTCTATTAGGATAGAAGCACTTCACCAAAGTGTTAACAAGATCTATGCCTTCACTTTGGAAACAGTTCTTGGATATAAAGGCACTGCAATGTGAATAATTATGTTGCTGATAGGTAAGAGAGGAAGATGATTATGATTCCACTTCTTAAAAACATGTAATGCAGGGAGAAAAGTGCTGCTCCATGAGAACTGGCTGTCTAGTTAATCGTTAAAAGAGTAAGATTTAATTCTTGTATAATCACACATATCACAGCTTATAAATACCAAACTAGAAGACATGAATGGAAGACCTAATGAATATTCATCCTTGCACTGCCATCAAAATGGAAAAAAAAAAGTTTAACGGAAAGCTGCATTTCTCTGCTGCACCCCATTCTGGCATAAGCCTGACATGTTTCAAGCCTACTTGTGGAAGTGAAGCAGACCAATCAGCATAACCACAGTTTCATGTCAGCAAGAATGCATCTGTAGCCTGTTGATGAGTATTGCTGTGTCTGTGAGCTGGTCATCTCTTGGTTGGGGAATGAAGCATCAGCGAAAGTATAGATGATTATAGTTCTGCACTCCTTCCATTTCCTTGTGTTTTCTTTATACTTTCTTTGTGTCTCTGAGCTTACGTAGGTAGGCCAGTGAGATTAGTAGGAGTGCTAAAGAAAATGTTTAGGATATAGAGCAACTGAGGAAGAAAGGGAAGGGCTTGCAAAAAAAACCCCACTCCTGTGCAAAAGTATATCTGTATCTTTATATGTTATGAGAGTAGTAGGGCTGATTGTTACTGCTATTTACATTGCTTACGTTTTGATCAGGAAGAACAAATGTTTGAATACTTTCCCATATTTAGAAGGAAAGAAGCAGGCTTTTTTCATATTCCTTTCCAGAAGAGAAATGCTATGTTTGAGCTGGTAAAAGAGAATTGAAAATTGAATCCATGAATGCATCTTTTTTTTTTTTTTTTTTTTTTCCAATCACACCAAACTGCTGTCTTTTGCATGTTCTTCTAAGGACTGAAGACTGGAGCAAATAGCTGTAGATGTACTGATGTTGTCAGGAGCACAGAAATGAGAAAAGCTGATGGAAATCTATTTATAAATTCACTAAAACATATTCCATATAATTAAGCAGCTGAATCACCAAAATGCACATTTTACACTCTGTCACAAACTTTCTTTGTGACACTCACTGATCAGTGTGCTATGCCTTCTAGTTTGCGGCCAGAACTTCAGCTTGGATTACACTGTATCAATCAGATGTGGAGCCTTGCTCTTAGAGTGGCAAACTGTTAACAGCTGTGCATAAATATGCAGAGACATTGAGAGCTACACTTTAAGGAATACGCTTTTTTCTTTTGCAGTTTTCAGTGTCACCACACCCAGCTTTTTTTAATGTTCTGAATATTGCTCTAACAGCTGTCCATTCATCTAGATGCAGTAGGCCTTGTCGCCTTTCTATTTATGTGGCATTTTGTTAGTTCTCCTGTTTCATGTTTGTTTTAACTGCTGCTTGGAAAAAAGATATATCTTTTCCACTTTGAAAGCTGCAAGCAACTATAGTTTTGAGAAAAGAAGCAAGATATATACATATATTCTCTTTTTTTCAATGAAGGTGTTGTTGGTGGCTGATTAAAGACAGACCATCATAGAAATGTAGAATCATAGAATGCTTTGGATTGGAAAGGGCCTTTAAGATCATCTAGTTCTATCCCCCGCTATAGGCAGGGACACCTCCTAATAGATCAGGTTGTTCAAAGCCCCATCTAGCCTGGCTTTGAACACTTCCAGGGTGGGAGCATCTACAACCACTCTAGGCAATCTGTTCCAATGTCTCACCGCTCTCACAGTAAAGAATTTCTTCCTAATATCTGGTCTAAATCTGCCTCTTCTATCTTAAAACCATTTTCCCTCTGTCGCTACGTGCCCTTACAAAAAGCCCCTCCCCAGCTTTCCTGTAAGCTGCCTTCAAGTACTGAAAGGCCACTATAACGTCCCCCCAAAGCCTTCTCAAGAGAAGAGCCACAGCTCTCAGCCTGTCCTCATAGGGGCTGTGCTCCAGCCCTCAGATCATCTCTGTGGCCCACCGCTGGACCTGCACCAACAACTCCATGCCCTCCTTGTGCTGGGGACTCCAGAACTGGATGCAGTACTACAGGTGGGGTCTCACGAGAGCAGAGAAGAGGGGCAGAATCACCTCTCTTGATGTGCTAGTCACGCTTTTTCCCAGCAGGAAGAGCAGACATGTTTAGTGCTGTGTTGCTCTTGCAATGATCTACTGGTGAGCCCAAGGCTGGTCTAGGAGCCATGTGGCCATAAGCAGCCATGGTTTCTCCTGTCCACTTTGTGACTGTATCTTACACAGTTGTGGAAGAGGTGGGGTTCCTGTTACCTTGGTAACATCCATGGTTTCCCTGAAGTTCAAACAGCTTTATGAAAAATTGCACCTTGCAATTAACTGTGTCCAGTTTTTCTCCACTTTTATTACCTGTTTTTCCTCTGTACTACAGAAACACTTGGTGTCATGACATGATGAAATCCTATGGACTCCATCCAAATCCCTCCAAGTGTGTTTTTTCAGTCTCTGACTAAAACCACTGACAGTGGTTTTTGAGCATTGACAGGTAGATCAATAGTTTGAGGATTAAAGCAGGCCTGTTAGACCCTGCTGGCTGCTGGTAGGGCTGCACCAGGCAGCTGAACATAATCCTCAGCCTAAGCTCAGCTCAGGCCTAGTGTTGTGGGCCCAGCTTTCTTTTTATTTCTAACACAGAAGCCTCAAGTAAATATACAGAGGTAAACAATGCTATAATTGTGAACCAGCTGTAGCATCATATATGACAAATAAGCTTGAAGACTGAACTTTGTAATTAACCCCAGACTGACAGCAGTGTTGCTCCCCTTTTTTTGCTTTTGTCCACAAACTGTAGGCTTGTCTGCTGATCTTTGGGTGAAATTTCCAGCAGCTTGGTATGGTTTTGATTTCCA